CGAGTTCAATTCTGGAGAAGCTGGCAGTCGCAAGTTCGATCCCAGTTACGAGCAAGGGAAGACGCTCGTGTCTCATCTTGGCTCAAACCGGGTTGAGGCCCTAGCCGTTGTTGGGCCGTGTGATGCTACCGACGCGGCCCCCGGCAGTACTGGGCAGCGCGCGTCGGAGGGCTCTCTCGCGGGAGCCGGCTGCTGCCCCGCCCGCGGCCTCGCCGACCAAGAGGCGGGCGCGGACTCCAAGCGCAGGGTCGAGGCCGTCGCTGATCGGCGCTCCGCCAGCTCGGAGAGCGAGGGCGCTGGACCCCCGGCACGGGCTGAACGCGAGGCTCGCGGTCCACCCGTCGGCTGTGCCAGCCCGAGCGGGAACGCTGCAGGACCTGCTGGACGCGGGGCCGAACCGCCAGCTGCCAGGCCGGGGCGGCGGGCGCGGCCCCGAGGCTGCCGACGACGCGGCCAGTGCGAGTGGAGAGAGCAGCGACGTCGAGGAGCCCAAGGCGGTCTCAGCCTGCGTGCGACGCCTCGAGAGCCGGGGCAAGGCGCGGGTTCGGAAGGCCATAGACGAGCTGGACGGCGAGCAGGGGACGGCTGGAGGCAGCAAGCTGGCCATCAGCTACCTGGGGCGCCGGTCGGTGGGGAAGGCTACGCTGGAGACCTACCGCCAGTGCGTCCTCGTCTTCTGCGTCTGGGCCCACTGCTCGATCGAGTGTCTCCCTGTGCCCGGCGAGCTGGACGCGCTGCTGGTCGAGCACATGATTTTGGAGCTCCTGAAGGGAGTGAAGTCGTGGCGAGGGGGGGAGCTGCTAGCAGGCATCATGTTCTTCCACCCGGACTACGGCCGCCTGGGAGGTTTACACTTGCCTCGCTCCCTCCGCTGCCTGAAAGGTTGGAAGAAGCTGTCACCATCTCGCTCGAGGAAGCCTTTGGTGTTTGCGATCTGGGCCGCTCTGGCAGTGGAGTTGTGCCGTCTGGGAGCGCCGCTGCTAGGGGCGCTCGTCCTGGTGGCGGTGGCGTGCTGCCTGCGGCCCGGGGAGATGCTAGGCCTCACGAGCGGCTCTTTCCTAGCCCCGAGCGAGCATGCAGTGCAGAACTGGGCGGTGCGGCTGTTCCCAGAGTCGGGGGCGGCTCGGAGCAAGGTGGGGTCGGCAGACGACGCGATACCTTGCGATTCGGGACGGTGCCCTTGGATGAGCCACATTTTCAGAGCTCTGAAGGATCGTCGTTCGTCCCAGCCCCCCCTGGGCTTGAGCTACCCTCAGTGCCTGGGCCTCTTCCGCAAGGCTGCTCTGGACATCGGAGTGGATGCCGTTCCCTACCAAGGCCGGCACAGTTGGGCTTCGCTGGAACGTGCCACCAATCGGCGTTCACAGGAGGAGGTTCAGAAGAGAGGAAGGTGGGCGGCGATGACGTCAGTAAAGCGATACGAGAAGTCAGGAAGGCTGAACGAGAGCTGGGAGTGCCTGTCCGACGAGACAAAGGCACATTGCGTGACGGCCTCGAGGCAGCTCGAGGATGTGCTGCTACTGGGCCGCGCCGCTGCCATCCCACCCTTTGCCGGCCGAGCAAGCTCCAGCCTGGGGCCGTCAGCCGGCAGTTGAGTAAGCAGCAGGTGCCCTACGTGCTGGATTTGTTCTCTGGCAGTAGCGGTGTCGCCAAGTGTGCACGACGGCTTGGTCTTCAGGCCGTGAATTTGGATCTTCGGAACGGTGCTGATCAGAATGTATGTTGCCTTGCAAATCTGAAACTGATTGAGAGACACTTCGGAGATGGTTTGGTTCGAGCTGTCATGCTGGCGCCCCCGTGTTCGTCGTTCTCGTTGGCTCGTAATCGATATCCTGTCAGAAGCGCGGGGCGTCCCGATGGGCTTCCAGGGCTCTCTGGCCATCACAAAGAAGCGGTTGAGCTTGGCAACTTGTGCCCCCAGGTTACAGCGTGCATCATTGGTCTCTGCCTTCGTTACCATGTCCCATATGCGCTCGAGAATCCTTTAACTTCGTATATGTGGCGATCTAAAGTCATGCGGGAAAAAGATACTTCCCTTCTCACGAGCTTTGGATTTGCATCAGTGTGCCTTCGGCGCCGGGTGGCGGAAAGCCACGAGAGTAATTCTCGGTTTCGTCACGGCCTCTGGGGATCTCTGTCTAACAAATCGTGGTCGTCTGCTCTGTCACGGAACACATGGGTACTGTTCGTTTCGACCTGGCCGCAAACATGTTGTGTTCTTGCATCTTTGCTTTGTCGTATGCTGACAAACCTTTGAGCTGCAATCTCAAACGAGTCTTACCGCTACGCTGTGAACTTCGACCTTGCGAATAATATGGAAGTCTCGACAGCCATGCATGACTGATCTCTCATTACCTGCGTGTGGCCCCACGTGGTAACATAACTTACCACCAAAAAGAAGGGCCTCATGAGCATAGTAGTGCGGTGTGCACGATGTTGCTTTGAGAAGCCCTCTCGTTTTCTGTTGCCGCCCACAAGCAGCCTCCCTATGCGGCTGCATGGGTTCAAGCTGCCCACCCGCGGCCACCTTGGACCTTGTTAACATAGTGCACGTCTTACGCCTGTGCTCTGTCAGAAGTCTCGACAGCCATGCATGACTGATCTCTCATTACCTGCGTGTGGCCCCACATGGTAACAGAACTTACCACCAAAAAGACTCATGAACATTCCCTTTTTTCAAGTTCAACACGTGCTCGCCCCCTCCTCCCAGAGGTCCCACACCTTCCCAGAACATCTGCGGAACGCTCCCAACACCGCGCTCCCCGACCTCCCGGGGAGCCCCCAAAACGCCGAAGGACAGCCCAAGACGACCCCAAGAAGCCCCCAGAACGTCAAAGCAAGGGCCAAGACGCTCCTAAGCAACCCAGGATAGCTTTCGGACGGCTCTCCAGGCTCCCAGGAGGCTTCCAAGAGACCTCAAGAGAGCTCCGAGAGGCCTCCCAAGAGCGCCCAGAGAACCTAAAATCGTTCATTGTCATGGTTTTCTTAAGGGTTGTTGGCGTTCTCACCATTTCATGCTTCCAACGCTCCAACACGGCCGAAGAGGCTCCCAAGACCGCCCCCAGACCGCCCAGGAGGTCCCGAAGACGGCCCCAAGATGGGCCAAGACGGCCCCAAGATTTCCGAAGAGGCGCCCCGGACAGCTCCAGACCACCCCAGAACAGGCCCAAGATGAGCCCAAGAGCGGGAGCAGGAGGCCGCCAGAGACCTCCAAGAGGACTCCAGGACCCCCCAGAGGACTCCAACACACCCCAGACCCCTGAGGTCCCCCGAAAATCCCCGATGAGGCCCCCCAAACAGCCCAAGAGAGCTGCGAGAGCCGTCCCGAGAGAGCCCGAAGAGGGTCGAACCGTTGCTTTCCAGTGGTTATTGTCTACTTGTTTCGCCTTCTCACGTGTTCCCGCTTTCAACTCTCCAAGACGGAGGAATTTGAGAACAAAAATTCAAGAGATTATTTTTTTTCAAGTTGGGACTCCTACTCCCTATCCTCTTCCTCGAGCCCCATCAAGACTTCGGGGTCACATGCGAAAATGCTTCGGGAGTGCGGTTGAACTCTCTGACGTTGTCTCGGCATTATGTGGGATCGTCTCCGTGTCCTCTTGGCTGCCCTTGAAACCATTATAGAAGTCGAGATCCCATGATCCCATGAGTTGAAGCAGTGGAATTTGGGAGTCCCTTTTTTCAAATTCACCCCCCGCTTATCTTTGCACGAAGACCCCGAGAGGCATCCTAACAGACCGTGGCCTGCATGCAGAACACGTCTTACCCACAGCCCAGGGATTACAACTTGAAAAAAGGGCAGTCCCACCATTCCGTTGTTGTCCAAGTTCGTCCCCTTGTCTATTCTTGCACAACGCAGACCACAATTAAGGCCCCAGAAACGAACCCAGGAAGCCTTCGAGGGCCACAAATCGTTGAACACCTAATGGCAGTTCATGATTCTTGCGTTTCCGCAGTTCCCTCTCTATATGATTCCGAGGCTTGCGCAGGGCCTCCAAGAGAGCCCCTGGATGCAAGACACGACAATGATGGTATTACATTGTTCGCCCATCAAGTCTAGCTAAAACTTGAGCGCGCGCGCGAAGCGCGCGCGATGGTTCTAGTGCATATATATATATGTATATATGTATTAATCCGTAAGGGCTCCGCCCCCTGTCGCTGGCCCCCTCTCTATCATAATGGGATATATCAGAGTCGCGTCGGTGCGTCTCGGCACTGCACTGGCGCATCTGAGAACATCATGCGGGGGCAGATCGGAATCATCAGCGCATATTGAGACGTTGGGGTTATCGACGACGCCTACGGCGAATCACCGCCGCCCCCTGCCTTCTAGAACCGCCCGTGTGGCCGAGGGTTGTGGCAAGAGCTCCGCCAAGCTATCGGACCTTGAGTTTCCCCAACCGTTGTGGAAACCCTTCGGGGAACACTTGGGGGAGGATGGTCCGGTCCCTCGGGGGGGGCCTCAAGGCGCGCGGGGAGGAGGCATCCCCAAAAAGTCACGCGGGCGTACCGCCTCGGTCGGTGCTCGCCAGTCTTCTGGGGCCTTCGGTGTGCACACGGCCTTCGTGACCATTCGGTCGGTCCCTCGGTCGCTCCCTCGGTCGTGGGCCCACTCCTGCGCTGCTCCAGGCGGACTGCGGCCCCAGGACGCATCCAACCATACCTCCCCCGACCCTCCCCCTCTCCCTTCCTCCCTGCTCCCCCTCTCCCCTCCCTTCCCCTCCCCTCCCCTCTCCCCCCTCCCCTCTCCCCCCTCCCCTCTCCCCTCTCCCCTCCCCTCCCTGCCTTGTGAGCACGCGTTGACTGCCATGCCACCGTTGCGCCACCACCACCCCTCCCTCCCTCCCTTCCTCTCCCCCTCCCTCCCTGCCTCCCCTCCCATCCTCCCCCCCCCCCTCCCCTCCCTGCTGCCCCCCATCCCTGTTCACTCCTTTCCCTCTCCCCCCCCTCCCTCCATCCCCATCCACCTGGATTTGCTGCCGCTCCGTTCTGCGCGCCAGGCGGGCCCCGCTGGGCGCCCCGCGCCTGACCTGGGAGGAGCAGGAACGGCGGAGGAGGCGCGCCTCGGCCCGTGGGCCACGACCGGCGGCGGCGGCGACGGCGGCCTGCGACGACGCCGACGCCGACGGCCGCCGTGGCATGCCTCGCGCTCTAGGGGGGCTTCCCGGGGCCCCCTCGCGATCACGGCCAGATTCGCCCCGACGCGCAGGTCAGAGCCCCCTCCCCTGGACCCTGAGCGGGCGTGCCAGGGGGCAGAATCTTGAGGGGAGACGCGACGACCCCCTCCCTCCTGCTCCAAGGCTCCTAAAAAGGGGGGAAGCAGGGGGGGTAGGGAAGGGGCGGACTTTTCCTTTGCGCCCTTTGAATCACAGCCTCGGTCTCACCGGCAGCATTGGACCCACGACGCTCACGCTACAGTGCGCAGAAGCAGCAGTTTCAGCGCAGCTCTAGGCCAGACGTACCCCGATCCTCTGACATTGCCAACCACGCCAGGTTCACGCCGTGTTGACGCGGCGGCAAGGCGCGTCCGAGGTGGAACTCCACCAGCTGCCCGACTGGCCAGAACTGAACGACTTCGGCCGCCACGACGTGAGCCCGCCGCCGGCGGCAGGCGCCAGCGGCCGCCGACGACAGCCAATGGCCACGCCGCCACGGGTCGAGCTTGCCGCACAGACGAGACGCCCCCCCCCCCCCGCCTGGCCCCAAGAGGAGAGGCCGCCGGCTGGGCGGCGCGCCCCGCGGGGCGGCGCACGGCCAGCGCCCCGGCGCAGGGGGGCCTGCGGGGGCTCCCGGCCACGGGGCCCCCCGCACAGACCGCGGCGCAGTGTGGCCCGAGTCCGATCGCGCGACGTGCGCCGTAGGGAGGAGCGCCCAGGTGGCGCCACACGCGTCGCGGAGGGCCATCGTGCGCCTTCGCCCCGGCGCGGCACGCCGACGAGGTGAGGGTTGAACCTCGGGAGGGTGGCACGTTTGTTCAACAAGGCAGAGTGGGCGGAGGAGGAGGAGCAGGAGGACGAGGAGGGGGGGGGTCCTCCCTGGCCAGTCTTACGAGCGCTCAGGATCCTGATCCCCAGAGGTCCCAGAGGCTTTTTCGAAGGCCTCTGGAGGCCCAAGAAGGCCCCAAAAGGTCAAATAATGTACCAAAACCTTCCAAAAATATCATTCCTCGACCCTCCAGGGTTGGGGGCAACACTTTGCATTACTCCGCCCTCCCTCCCCATGTCCGTCCCTCCCCAGCTCGGTGACCTGGCAGCGTGCAACGATAGCAGCGATGCGGACGCACGGGCCGCGAGCAGTCTGTTTCGTCATCATGTTATTGGTCAACGCGATGACCTCTCAAGCCCTACTATTCATACGCGAACGACATACGTATCCACATCCATGCCATCGTGGTCTGGATGGCGAGGCGCGATCCCATAGATGCGCGATCCCATGGATACGCGATACTATAGGTGCGTTCCGCGCGAGGCCTTCACGCAAAGACGCCCCAGATGCATAGGGTTGCGGCCGAAGAGTCCAGATCACGAGGACGCTTCCCAGTCACGACTGCTGGTCCGGCAGCCCCAGGACAAATACATTGCTCTGCGGCATCCTGGAACGCTCTCAGAGCATTCTGGAGCATTTTGGAACGGCTGCGACGCCAGATGCATCCTGCAAGCCCGCCAGCCCTCAGAGATTTCCGACCTACCCCGCTGCGAACCTGCCTTCGTCCTGGCCCCGTCTTATCATGGGCACGACCGGCCTCCTCGGAAGTGCGCGCGCCACTCGGGGCGCTGGCCCTCGCCCGGTGGCCTCGCCAGAGATCGGAAGTCCCAAAATACGGTGGTCGCACGGGGCTGGGACGAGGGTGAACCCGCTCTGGCGCGTCCCCGAACGCTCTGAGAAGGCCGCGGCGTCCGAGTCATCGCCCAGGGTCGCCAGATTTGAGAGATTTTCGATCTTCACCCGATGTGATCCTCGTCCTGGCCTCCGTCGTAGGCCAACCCTCCTGGAGAGTCAGTGGGGATTCGGGGTCACCGCACGGTCCTGGGGCCTGGGACGTTCTCCGAGGAGGTCCCGGGGCGAGACCGCGGCCTCCAGGGCCCTCGGACCGCGCGGTGAGGTCTCTCGGGATTTCGAGCTCGCCGCGCGATCCGTGTCACCGCGCCGCGTGGGGACCTCCCTGGAGGCCCGGCCGCTCCCGGACGGGGCCAGGACGGGGATGAATCCGTTCCAGGGCGTTCCGGAACGCTCTCGGAGCGCTCGGGAACGCTCTGAGAAGGCCGCGGCGCCCGAGGCATCTTCCAGAACCGCCGGGTCTCGGAGATTCTCGATTTGTCCTCATCCGATGTTATCTTCGTCCTGACTTCGTCTTACGCTCCTCCATCCGCCCCCCGCCAGTGCCCGCCGCGTTCCCCCTTGGCATTGCTCGGACGTGTGCTTTTCTGTCGACCAGAACCATGGAGGAGGACCTTGCATCATCTTACGAGAACAAACGCGCAACATCGAAAATCGCACGTGGAATGGACGTCCGAGCGATGGCAAACCCGCCGAAGCTGAGCGGGGCCGCCCAGGCGCCAGGGGCAGGCGCCCGACCATAACGCACTGAGCCTCAGGCGCCTCCCGCCGTCTGGGCCAGGGGGGCTCGCCGACCCCGGGCCTCCAGGAGAGGAGGGAGGAGGAGGCAGGAGGAGGCAGGAGGAGGGAGGAAGGAGGAGGAAGAGGAAGGAGGAGGAGGAGGACAAGGGCGAGGAGAGGACACGGGGGAGGAGGAGGCGGAGGCATAGACGCTCCGCCCACCCGGTTTGAGTACGACTGGTGCACGGAAGGGGAGGAGGAGGACGAGGAGGAGGAGTTGGAGGAGGAGGAGGCAAAGGCGGGGGAGGAGGAGCCCTTTGCAGGTAGGAGGAAGAGCAGGACGTCGTCATTTCTCGCCCTTTTGGGGCCTCGATGCCCGCGTCGCCACGGCTGGACTCGCTTCGGAATCTTCGTCAGGTTGCCCTCCGGGAGAATTCGGGGGGGCCGGTTTTGAAAGGAGACCCTGGCTTCTGGGCGTCGCGAGAACAAATATGTTGCTTTGAGCGATCCGCACCGAAACCTTAAGCGGTTGTTCCCGATGGCGCTCGGTCGCCTGATTGGTTGACAACTGCCGTTTCTGGATTCAAAAACGATTCAACCATGCTCCATGTTGTCGCGCTATTTTATGTTATGATATGTTCTGTCCTGTTATGTTCTCGACGGGCCGGCGTGACTTCGTGACGCCTGTGGTGGTAGATGCGTCGTCTGCTATGATGTTCCTCTTTACTTGCATGTCTCTTATGATTGAGTATGCTATATTATGATCATCTCTGTCACCACCATAGTTTAGATGTTATGGTATGAGCTGCTCTGTGACACTATGATATGACATGATATGAGATGCCAGGGTATGTTATAGTGTGGGTTGTTGCTCCGTGATGATGAAACCAGCTCGGATCATAATAGTAGATTATGATATGCTCTTCTAGTGTGCTTCGCTGTGTTTTGCTGTCGTGTTATGGTATGCGATGTGCTGCTGCCATGGTATGACCGGACATGCTATGTCATGGTGGGTTATGTTATGCCTGGATGTGTTATGTTATGTCGTGGTATGGCGGCTTCTGTTCTGTCATAGTTTACTCTGGTATGTGATGTGCTGTTATAGTTGTTGACGGCCCGGCTCTGTATAGTGTAGTATAATTCGTTTTGTTAGTATGTGTCGCTATATTCTGTTGTCGTGTTATGAATTATTATCTGATATGGTGTTGCTAAATGATATGATATGGTATGTCAAGGTGTGTTATGTTGTGCTCGGTTATCTTATGCTAGACGGTGTCATGTCGTCGTGTGTTATGTCATGTTCTGCTCTGGTATGCTCTGTGATGTTCTGGTATGCCTTGTTTTGACACGGCATTGCTATGCTCTGTCATGTTATGTTGTGTCATGTTGTGTCCTGTCGTGTTCGTCGTCGCTATGCTCCGCTGTCGTGGCACGGTATGTTCTGTGATATTGTGTCGTGATATGATCGGTTAAGTCAAGGTGTATTATGGTATATTCGGCTATGTTGTGTTCTGTCGTCTTCTGGTATGGCATGTTCAGCCCTGGTATGATATGTGATGTTATGTAGATTGATGGTCCCGCTCTGTATAGTATTGTATGTCATATTATGCTAGTATGTGTCGATCTGCCACGCTGCCTTGTTAGGATATGTTATGTGATGCTGTGCCATAATATAATGGAATAGGTCCAGGTGTGTTATATTATGGGCGGTCATGGTATGTTATGTTATATCCTGTCGTCTTCTGTTCTGTCATGTTCAGATCTGGTAGGTTCTGCGATGTTATGATGTGTCCAACTTTGTCATCACATTGCTATGCTATGTTATGTCATGCTCTTGTTATGATATGTCGTGTTATGTTGTACCATGTTATACTATGCTGTGTTCGCTGTCGCTATACTCTGCGATCATGTTATGCTATGTTCTGCGATGGAGGTCGAGGAGGAGGAAAGGTAGGCGCCGCCTCCTTCTCCACAATCGCCAGCCAAACTCCAGAAAGCACGCTGAGTAAGCCACCAGAAAGGTCTGGACCCCTTCCCGAAGACAATTGCTGCGCCCCCATCCGCTTGTGAACGGCCCCAGAGACCAGGGCGACCCTGGAGAGCCTGAGAAGAAATTCATCAGTCAAAATATGCCGATGCCACCTCTTCCGGTCGACTTCTTCCGGGGCATCTCTTGCGGGGCAGTTTCTTCCGGGCAGTTCTTTTGACCTAATTCGTCGGACGGGGATTTTTCTGGACGATTTGCCCCCGGCGGATTTCTTCCAACCGATTTCTTCCAGAAGCTTCATTTTCTGGAGCAATTTCTGCCGATCGATTTCTCCCGAACGACTTTTCCGGGCGACTTCCTCAGGGCGACTCATTCTGGGCGACTTATTCCGGGCGATGTTGTTTGGGCGACTTCTTCCGAGGCGACTTCTTCTGGGTGCCTTGTTCTGGGCCACTTCTTCCAAGCCAATTCTTCTGCACGCCTTCTTCCAGGCGACTTCTTCCGAGCGGGCTCTTTCGAACCACTTCTTCTGGGCAATTTGTTGTTGGGCGATTTCTTCCTAACGATTTATCTCGAACGTCTCTTTTGACAACCTTCTCTTCCTCCTAATATTTGTATTCCTCCTATTATTCCATCATTTCATCTGCCGCCCGTCCTCCTCGTATGCGTCGTCGTCCTCGTCCAATTCCTCCTCCTCCGCCTCCTCCTCCTCTTCCTCCTCCACCTCCTCCACGCCGATGTATTCCGAGAACAGTCTCTGCGTCGCCGATTTTTTCCGCGACGACTTCTTCCGGACCATTTCTTCCGGACCTTTCTTGGGCGATTTCTTCCGGGAGAAAATTATCCAAGAAGAAGTCGTCGCGGAAGAAGTCGTCGCGGAAGAAATTGTCGTCTTTCGGTGTTTGTTCGTGTAGCTGCAGTTCTGGTTCGTGGAACGGGGCGAGGTTGGGTCCTTCGGTACATCACCACACCAGGATCCAGTAAACCAGGTCCCGCCAACGCACGAGGGACGCGCTGCCCGTCTCGGCACCCCCGTCCTCCTCCACTGCAGCCTTCGGCGGAGCTCCCTACGGGGCCTCGAAACGTGAAAGGTGTGTGCCGGCATGAGTGCAGTGGCGCCATGCGAACCCTGCCACATAGGCCTTCGGTGGAGCTCCCAATGGGGCCACGGAACGTGCGATGGGTGTGCCGACGTGGGTGCGGTGGCGCCATGCGAACCCCACAAGTGGGGCCTTGCGTGGAGCCCGCCATGGGACCACGAACCGTGTGAGAGGTGTGCCGACCATGGATGCGGTCAGGCACATGCGAACCCTGCCACTGTGGCCTTCGGTGGAGCTCCCTATGAATCCCCTAAGCGTGTGAGGGGTGTATCGATGCGAATCCTGCCACTGGGGCCTACGGCGGAGCTCCCTACGACGGCACGAACATGTGAGGGGTTCCCTACGACGGCACGAACATGTGAGGGGTGTGCCGGAATAATAAGTGCGGTCGGCGGTAGCGCCATGCGAATCCTGCCACGAAGGCCTTCGGTGGAGCTCCAAGTGGGGCCACGGAGCGTAAGAAAGGTGCGCCGAAATGAGCGCAATGGCGCCATGCGAATTTCTTCTGGTCGACTTCTTCCAGTCGCTTCCGTCCAGACGATTTCTTCCGAACGAATTCTTCCGGACGACTTATTGCGGACGAGTTCTTCTGGACGATTTCTTCCGGACGTCTTCTTCCGGACGATTTCTCCCGAACGATTTTTTCCAGAAGATTTCTTCCGGACGACTTCTTCCAGATTATCCCGGCAAAGCAACCTAACAGCGATGTGTAGGAGCATATCTGGGAGCATTCCCCTTAAGATTCAAATGAGAACCCAGTTGTAGAATTCTGCTGTTCTCGCAGTCGTAGTCGCATTCGCGATGACAGTCGCAGCGGCAACGGCAGTCGCAGTCACAGCCTCAGCCTAGCCTGCCTCAGCCTCAGCCTCAGCCTGCCTCAGCCTCAGCCTCAGCCTGCTTCAGCCTCAGCCTCAGTCTGCCTTCAGCCTCGGCCTCAGCCTCAGCCTGCCTCAGCCTCAGCCTGCATCAGCCTCAGCCTCAGCCTCAGCCTCAGCCTGCCTCAGCATCAGCCTGCCTCAGCCTCAGCCTCAGCCTGCCTCTGCCTCAGCCTCAGCCTGCTTCAGCCTCAGCCTCAGTCTGCCGTCGGCCTCGGCCTCAGCCTCAGCCTGCCTCAGCCTCAGCCTGCATCAGCCTCAGCCTCAGCCTCAGCCTGCCTCAGCCTCAGCCTCAGCCTGCAGCCTCGCCTCAGCCTCAGCCCCCTCAGCCTCAGCCTCAGCCTCAGCCTCAGCCCTCAGCCTCAGCCTGCCTCAGCCTCAGCCTCAGCCTGCCTCAGCCTCAGCCTCAGCCTGCCTTCAGCCTCAGCCTCAGTCTGCCTTCAGCCTCGGCCTCAGCCTCACCTGCCTCAGCCTGAGCCTGCATCAGCCTCAGCCTCAGCCTCAGCCTGCCTCAGCCTCAGCCTGCCTTCAGCCTCAGCCTCGGTCTGCCTACAGCCTCGGCCTCAGCCTCAGCCTGCATCAGCCTCAGCCTGCATCAGCCTCAGCCTCAGCCTCAGCCTCAGCCTGCATCAGCCTGCCTCCTCAGCCTTCAGCCTCAGCCTCAGCCTTCAGGCCTCAGCCTCAGCCTGCAGCAGCTCAGCCTCAGCCTCAGCCTCAGCCTCAGCCTCGGCCTCAGCCTCAGCCTCAGCCTCAGCCTCAGCCTCAGCCTCAGCCTCAGCCTCAGCCTCAGCCTCAGCCTGCCTCAGCCTCAGCCTCAGCCTGCAGCCTCAGCCTCAGTCTGCCTTCAGCCTCGCCTCAGCCTCAGCCTGCCTCAGCCTCAGCCTGCATCAGCCTCAGCCTCAGCCTCAGCCTGCCTCAGCATCAGCCTGCCTCAGCCTCAGCCTCAGCCTCCTCAGCCTCAGCCTCAGCCTCAGCCTGCTTCAGCCTCAGCCTCAGTCTGCCTTCAGCCTCGGCCTCAGCCTCAGCCTGCCTCAGCCTCAGCCTGCCTCAGCCTCAGCATCAGCCTGCCTCAGCAT